TCCATGTAGAAATTGACTGCAGTGTCGAGGCCTCCATCTTTCAGGGTGTAGGGACACTTTACCTCAACGACTCCATGAGGAGTCGCTTCCGCTGGATCCCACACAAGCCTGTCCGGAGACGCCCCAAGCCACGGGCAGTCTGGACGAACAAGAATGCCGCAGGGGAATGTCTGGATATCATGCCCCAGGGCTCGCAAAGAACTTTCGTAGCGCTGTACGGCGACCGGCTCATACTTGATGCCATGCCTATTGGAATATAAAAGGCGTGTAAAGGTCAGAAACCGGATGCCGAGAAAGAATTTGAAAAAAGGCTCTGGAATTAGACACAAACACGGCAATGGCTACCCCACATTCAGACTGAATTTAGTCATACCCACTGCGCAGTCATGGCTGCATGGTCACTGACACTTTATCGGGAGCTTTGTGTTTTATCGCTCATCACTGATGAGACACATGACAGTAATGGTGTGCTTGCACGACGAATATTTTTCCCGCGGATAGAGCTAAACGTTAATCACGAAGGTTCTGTAGGTGGCTCACAGTCTTCCGAGAGATTCTCGAAAACAGGAAGGCACCGTCCTTTTGGGAAAGGACTAACGGCAGTTGCAATAAACTGCAAAGCACTTTTCTTTGTTTTTTTTTTATTTTTTTACTCTTCCTTTTGTGCCTTGAGAATGCGATTGTCACAAACAGACTCATGAGAGCACAAGAACTTCAGACACCGAAGACATGCGATTCCGTCGTGCGAGCACCCGCTCAGATTTTCCTCACTACTTCCTCCTCCTCGTGGCTTTCCCCCCTCGCAGGTCAACGAAATACTTGGTACTCTCTGCAGAAATACCTCCCTCATGTGTATACATCATAAATAGCGTCGATAGCACCGCCATCTTGGTTATATAAACCGGTGTTCTCTTTTGTTGTAAATTATGAGAAGAAGCAGATGCACAGAACAGGTTCACCACTCCTTCGGATGGAGGGAAGTTCGTTCTGCCATAATGCCTTCCCAGCGATAGGCTTCCGCCAAACTGTGGGCACCCCAGGGTCCGAACACGCCAAGTGACGCTCTAATGTAAGCTTTAATTCAAGAGCTGTTTCCTCCAAGGAAATTTTATAATCACCTGACTGCACGGACGTGAGAGAGATCCTTGGGTGAAGTCAAGTTGATGAGGCCTTTCGTAGTCCAGCTCTCTCGTGTGGCAGCATCCCCAAAGCAGGAGGCTGTGAGTCGGGTCTGCCGGGCTGCCTTCCACAGCGGACTTTTAGACTGTTGTCGAGTGTTTCTCTCCAAACATCTAGCCTCCGTAGAAGTCACCAGGAGAGACTGAGAAAATAGTAGCCTTTGTTAGTTGGTTGGAATCATTGACACCCAACGCATGAAAGGGGCGACATCTGAACGCATAGGTCACAACGAACATGCAATTGATTAATTCTCTGCTGGTACACAAATAGGTGCCGAAGGTCTTACACACCATTGGTGCCTATGGTGGCTTGGAGCTCATGGCCATGAGCGACTATGTGAATAGCTAATGCCACATCACAGACTTGTTTTTTTAAACGGGTTGACGGTTGTAAACAAGGGATAAATAAAGTTAAAAATACTTGCAGGAATAACCTTGTGCCGGTGTGCATTGCTTCTAGCACTGGCACAGCTACAAACATGACAGTTTTGCAAAGGCTCTTGTTCTACAAGGTCCTATGTGTGCGAGAAACCGTATGCCACTTTTACCACTCGGACTCTTCAAGTTCTTTTGAGTTGCAGTCAATGGTGCCAGCCAGAATAGTGAATGACATAAAGAAACATCAGCTTGTACTCTAGTTTTACACATGCCAGCCATTACTGATGTTTGGGCGATAGGCTCATCAGCAGCCAAAATGGCCCTGGCAGATTCACTTGGGCGGCTCCAAAGAGAAAAGAACACAATAAGAAACAGTCTAGCGATCCAAACACGTTTCCAATCATGCATATTGAGTTATCTCGTTGGTCGAGCCACTCGTCATGCTTCTGATATTTAAAAGCACAAAGTATAAAACTACTGAAAAGTCACTTGCATGTAAACGAATAGTGCAAATGACGGAAAGGTGGTACCAGCGTGGTTGCAAACTATGAAATTAGAGTGGAATGGTGCTAAGGGCGATTCACACACTTGCGTTGAGTTTGACCGAGTACAAGGGTTGTTACGGCAACAGCTGTGTCGGCTCCAACAAAACCAATTTTTACCCCGCTTTGTTGGAGCCGACACAGCTGTTGTCATAGCAACCCTCGCACTCGGTCGGACTCAATGCAAGTATGTGAATCGCCCTTTAGGCGATACCATCGTATAATGCCGTGTGTGCAGCTGACCAAGTAGGCAGCGTGCTCGTGGCCTAGCATTTATTGCGCTTGTCTTCCATGCAAAAAGTCAAGGTTTGATGCCTGGCCGCAGGTACACATTTTTGTTGACTCTGTAATGTGATGTTCTGGTAAATTCGAGAACCATGTTGCTGATTCGTGGTTAGAATGTTCTACATGCCAAGCCTTCTACGCTGATTGTTCTATATGCCAAACCTTTTACGCGTGTACAAAAGAGGCTCCACGTGGCAAGCCGTGGTCAGTCTTACGCTAGCGCCGGATTCTGCCTCTTCGCCGACATCGTCGCTCGCTTACAACACCTTTTCTTTTTAACCCTTTGTTTTAAGCCCAAGTTCGCCATATCAAACGGGTCTCCTTCCTGTTTATTTTTGTTTGTTTTGATCACCATTCATGACAATATCAAGATCTATTGCGAAGGTGCAAGCGAACATCCAAATATTACTTGTTGGTGTTTGCTTTGCTGGTACCTGCAATAAACACCTGAAAATAAATGATGTGGAGATTACACTTTCAGGCTGTTTTGGTCTGCCTTTGTTTTTCTTGTTCCTTCTTATATATTTGCCGCATGAACGGTGTTGTTGTAAGCATCAGAACACAGCTATGTGTAAAAAGGTATGGTACCTTAAGGAGCAGGTCTTGTTCCACGGGAAGGCTCAGCCCAGACATCTTCCAGTTTATGCAGGCGTCGAAGAAGGTCGGCTCACAAGGCAGCGCCTGGTTTCTTTCCTGGACATGGCCCACCTCCGGGCTGATGAAAGTCTCGTACCCGAAAGGCACCAGCGCCTGCTGGTAGGACAGGACACTGCCAACCGGAGCCAGGCCAAACTTCGTCTTGACCGGATCAGCAGCAGTTGCCCTTCGGAGGCGCTTTGCAAAGGGCGAGGCTTGACTTGAATAGAGACTCTCTCCAAGGGCTTGGATCGAGGCCATTCTATCACTGAAGTGCATCGCGTTTCTTTGGGCATCATACAACTTGGACGTGATAGGGGTTTCCAGCCCGTCCTCTCGAACGCTTCTCCAGTCGACCGACTGCACGCTTGTGAAGGCAACTGCTTCCCCTCGTGGACGGCGCCACTGCTGGGGCAACTCAGTGCAGGCTACTGCAGGGGGAACTTCTTCATAGTCCTTCGCTCTTAACAAAGCGAGAAGCTTGAGGAGGGCCAGACTGTGGTTGCACGCCCCACTTTTGCCAGCTGCACACTCACAGTCGGCACCCTTCACAACTCCACTCTGAAGGAGGTTCACAGAAACCTGGTAAGGCTTTGCTGCTTTCTTTTGGCTCCTGAAGCAACTTGCTTTGGCGTGAACACCAGTAGGTGAGCTGAAATGAATAAAAATAAATGTGATCAATAGCCTTTTTGTTCACACATATGTGCTCCATAGATAGTTTAAGTAAGCGACATGATCTTAAATCTCTGGAAATATGTTGTATACACTCGCTCGAACTATCTTTTGCGCGAGCGTGATCGTGCAAACACACCGAATCGTCAACGGGAAACCACCAGCTCTGGAAACAACACGACCAAAACAGACGTACGACACGAGCGATTCCGTTTTGAACTCGATCCCCCACTCGTCACTTCGCACGCCACTGAGTCTCGCAACATCATGTCAAACTGTGAGAAAGCAACGACTATGGTTTGTTTCAACATATTTTCCCAGTGCGGAAGATGCCGAAGATGGAAATGCAAGCATGATTCCTAACGCGCTTCGAAGCGTTCGACGACACAAGCGCGCGCGCACGTAGCTGGCGCGCTCACAGCCTGATGCTTACGTTCGTAACTTTGGATTCCCTCAGATTTAGGTCGAAACAGGGGACAAGAAACAGGCGTGCTTCAATGCTTACCTGTACACTCGAATCGACGAAGGCTCTAGGCAGGCCTCGGTGAAAAACTTCTGGCTTCGGACGACTTGACGGCTGGACGCCAATCTCGACGCGCGGTAGGCCTCAATCTTCTCTTCATTGAAGCTCCGCGGAATCGTGACAAGACTAATGCTCCAAGGCGAAGCTGATGAGACGTCAGCGGTACCGGCGGTACCTACACAGGCAGATGCCATAGCCGCCATAGCCCGCTTCAAGTGCGACGTCGCTCTAATGGCGGCGGTTTCGGTTTCTCAGCGTTGCTTGACTGACTTTCGGGAAGGGCCTATTGTATTTGAAATACCCACGTTCTAGTATTTAAATACACACGTCAATACATTACCCAATTAGTAATTAAATACAAATGCAAAAACACAAAGTATTTAAAATACGTATTTCAAATACTTGTATTTGAAATACTGCCCATCCCTGGTCGAAAATATGAAGTCTCGTTCTTTCGCCAACTGCGTTCCTGGCGGCGTCGCAGCAGCGATGGTGCGTGTCGCGGACGCCTGTTCTGCTGGGGGTCGCTCTCCAGATGGACAGTCCCCGGAAGCTGCGGCAGCCAGGAGTTGGGACGCCGTGACGACAGGTACACTCGCGATCTCTCGTGCTTTTTTGTCGGAACTTCTACGACCAACCACCAGGATTGCAACATCCGACAGCATAATACTCGGGTTTGTTTGCTGGCGTCATTTGGCGCCACTTCCTTGCCATTCTGCATGCAATGGTGGTATCTAGGACTCTAAACACACCAGTCGAAGACGCGTTCCAGGCACCAAACTCCAAATGCACACGGAACTCCAGAACCTCAATGATAACGGCTACAAACATAAACGCTTCGCAAGTTCGGTTGATATTGGGGTAACCCACCGTCAAAAAATATTTCAGGTGCTTTGTATACGATATCTCAAAGATTTTGTTGTTGTTGTTTTTCTTGCTATTAACAGATAAAGTTTACAATGTTATTTCTTCTGAGAATTTTCCTCGTGTATATACACGATGCGACAAAGGAACAACGTAAAATGATAAGAAAAACAATATCCACGAGAGTCGCCTATTGATTGTAGCCCGTTGCTGCATTCTGTTTACTCCAAAACGCCTGTAGGAAAACACGGCACCGGGTTGCCCTCAGCGAAGTGGAAAACCGAATTTGTATCGCGCCACCTAAAACAAATACAATTCGCAAAATAACTTTATCGCCGGTGTATAAAAACCTTGCTCACGGAGTGTATGGTACCACACATTTGTCGCAGCACTGTCTTGACGAGAAAGTTAAGCGTGCTCAATTTTATAATGCATTTCTAAAACAAATACATATTGTATGCATAAAAGAAGTGAAAGTCTACACTTCGCTCGAATATTCATACTTTTCACACCCATGGTCACTCCACTCCCCTTCCATTTATTTTTTAAACATCTGTATATGCTTATATTGTTTTGCTATTAATTATTTGCCTAAAACTAGTAAATTCTTTATTTCGTACCTCAGTGAAGAGGGACGGAGTTATAGTACAGTGGATATCTAAGTGCGAAGTTGGCGTGACGATGATATCGACGGAAATTTATTTTCTTTAACCTTTCGCGGATCACAGTTTCAGGTTCTATTGCCAGATTAAACATATCTTCTGTTGTTGTATTTCAGAAATTATGAAGGAAGTGATGGTTGCCTGCCTTCTTTATGGCTCTGTTTTCTTGGCATGTAAGTGTAGTTCCAGCTCTCTTTCATAAAAGTGTCAAACCATTTACTGGTCAGAAAAACAAAACAGCGCTCGGCACTAAAAAATTTAATCTTTATTGAGAAGTCGGAACACAAATAATTTTTTTACCATGAAATAAACACAACCACAAAGTTAGCGAAACAGCATCGGGAAGCTTTGATTTTTAACGTTCTAAATTTCTATTATAGTAAATAATGCGAGAAACATCAGAGCCACAACAGAGGTTCCAGCCTCCGTTGGTGTTGGCGCTTTTTCAACTGTTGAGTTTGTTGGTGAAGAATGTGCTTTTCGATTATGCTTATAAGTCAATGGTAAAATAGCTGGGTCTCCTACTATAAAACGATCAAAGCTTTCAACCAACGCTTCAAACTCGGTATATTCGCCATTGATTTTAATGGGTACAAAAACATGTTCTGCAATATGTAATAAATATATTTCCTCGGGATGCCCGTCACACATTTTGTTGCAAAAACAAATCTCTTACCCACTAAATAAACCATTCGTCATAATTTTTTTGTTGGGGACAGAGGAGGGGCAGGGCGGAAGGGGGAGTTAACTTGTTATTTTGATTAATAAAAATGACCAAAGAAGTAAGACATTTTTGCCGTTTTTATTATTGTACCTGCGGAATACTCCACGCAATTCGTTTGTACAAAATCCCTACAATACGTTTTACTTTAATTAGATAACATGTAAAATTAACTCAACAATCCGGGTACACCAATTGTTTCTTTCAGTTGGCCTTGAGAAAAAAGAAGAAGAGTCCGACCATCTCGACGTTATTGTCGACAACGAGGTGAAGAAAGTGGGCGAGGAGCCAGTTCTGATTGGACAGATTCTTCGGGAATGCGCCAAAGGCCTGGAAGTTCGCGTTGCAAAGCATGAACACTTCGATAACGAAATGAGTAATGACTTTGCAGTGCCGCGGGAATGACTAAGAAGGAACGCTTCTCCGTACTTCTTGAAGATTCAAGTTTACTCTCACCCCGAGTGTAGAAGATAAGGGGGCCAACATAACCTTTGCGAGTCAGTCTCGTCCTAGCTTACTCTGGAACATTCTAGGTGGAATATTCGACATACCGAGTTTAGTAGACAAGGCGCCCGCGCGGCCTTGCCGACTGATTGTTTCCCAACAACGAGGCACGCTCTCTCTTTCACCACCCCGCTGTCACGCCGACACACCGTCGCTCGCTGCTGCTGCCGTCGACGCTTGCAGCTGCTTTCTCGACGCTCGTCCTTTCTTTTGTTTCTGGCACAAGGTCGCCGGTAACACGTTTCTTTTTTTTTTTTCAGTTTACGCTCGTCGAGTCTTTGCCATCCGCGGAAATATTTTACTTCAAATATTATATACTTCTTTATTTATTTATTTTCGACGTGTTTTATAAGTGTATATATCGGGTTTTATTTATTTATTTTTTTAATCTCTTGCCAAACTTTTTTTGAGGCACTATAAGTTTACTGCGACTAGTCTCATCAATACTAAACTTCTTAACACTGGGCTATATATTTCAATGATTGTAATTTCTTACTTAATTAAAAGCACCTGTAGAAAGTGCCTGCTCAAAAGAAAAACGCTGGCAGCTTTATTAAAATTGTTTATATTCTTCATTAATTCTTAAAGGCCTTGGAATATAAATCCCAGTCTGTAAAATAATTTTTATTTGGTGAGTTATATTCACAACATAAAATTTCATAATACGTTTCCCGCAAACCTCACGTGAAAGGAAATGTTTCCTATTGCATACTTTAATCTGAAGGAAAAAACACTCCGGAATATCAGTAAACGTACCGAATACCTCGATTTTCTGAAGCAAAAAAAAAATTATCAAAGTGTTGAACATTTTTGTTCTGTGATTTTATTTTGGTGTCTCCATTCTCATACGGTCCTGGTTATTGTTTGTTTTCATGGACAATAAAGCGGTTCAGTATTTTAGAGAAAAAAAACAATTAAAATCGTCTTTATTTGGCTCCGAGATTACGAATATCAAAGTAATATTTCAGATTGATGTGCCAAGTAGACACAACAGCGCTTTCAATATAGATCGCGTTCGATGCGAGGAGGGAATCATTACTTGTTATACACAAATCTCAATATTTGCGCACCTTCCGCAAGCCTTACCAGGGCGGTCAAAGGCTCTAGACGCGTTCCCTCACAAGCGGCACCCGCAAGGCAGCTGAAACCTCTATGTATGACATCACACCCAAAAGTGCGACGTCATACCGAGAGGCTTTTCGCTTCCCTCGCGTCTTTTGATACGTTCGGGTCAAATTCTTGTGATAGTCAAATTTACGGAGCAAAACAAACAAAAAACGCTAGAATTCACCTGGAGCTCGGTTTATTTTTCCTTTTTTCCACAAGAGTTTTTTTTTTTTTTAGCGTCCCTTTAATATGAAGATTGCATAATCAATTACTTACTTTTTGTTGTTTGTTATTTTTACTTTTAGGACTATATCCTGTCTGAATATTGGCACGCTTTCCCACGTCACGGCATCTTCGACACCGTTAAGATGACAGTACCGTATTTTCTTATTTTTGCAGACGGCGGAGTATATTATCAGAAGAATATGGAGCGAATTGAAGAAAGCAATAAAGAAAACTGCCGAGGTTGTCGTCAATGTTGGCAAAGCCATCATTCCGAAAAAGGTTGTTAGTATCGTCAAGGATCTCTTTCAGAAGAAGATGGGTGAATACGCTCTCGCTGAGGACAAGTCATCTGGTGGCCTCGTTCTGGCTCTGGCAAAGGACATGGACGACTTGGGCAAGGCTCTTATGGAGAAGGGCGTTCATTTGTGCGAAGCGCGCAAAATGACGAAATTGGGAGATGCTGAAATAAACTTTGTTGAAGATTTCGTGTCTGCGTTTTAAAAGTTTAAGCTTGCATTCCTTACTATGATTGTAATTTACGACACTCTTTAGGTATTCTTACGGCACTCTTTAGTGTGTTGATTGTCAAAATAAAGTGTCGTTTACTTTCAATATTGCACCAATGTGGCGTTGTTGGTTTTAAGATATACTCTGACAAGTAAAGGGAAGCTGAAGCATCTTTCACTAAATCTAAGTTGAAAACAAAGCTTCTATATTTTTGTGTTTTCTTTTTTTTTTTTTCTTTTTTTGTGAAATTATTTATTGAATCTAGCTTGGGCACTAGAGAACGTAAACATAATTTATTTGACAAATATTTGCACCATTTTCCGCAGGGCATACGGAGGGCCTCTGTGCCGCCAGGTATTTGTCCATATCGTAGTGACGTCATCTTCGGCATTCCCGTGCTAGCTTAGTAACGATCAAGGGTCACTGACCCCGCCAATGACATCACTTTTGCTAGTTCTCTCCACTCTCGCGCAGTTCTGCCCTCGACATGCCGTAAACGGAGGGGCTCTGTGAAAATTTTGAATGGGCGATAACGGCTGTCCTATTGATATGATCGAAATAAAACTTAAGACGCATCGTTTTTAAAATACCTAAGTTAAAGCGTTTTTTTTTTTTATTAATATTGAATGACTTTTTTTTTAGATTGCATTTTGTTAATACTTTCAAAACACACACATAAAACAATGTCTCGAAAAATTGTATGCGGATCTCCGAAGAGTGGAGATAAAAAAGATCGGTTGTTTTTTAAACGTGTGTTTAAGGCTGCCACATTCCAAATGTGCTTGTGGCAAGGAATGTTATTCAGTGATTCTGTTGTGACTAATGTCGTGTTCGAATATTCGTGCTGCCATTTTGAAAGGAAGTGAGAATTTATATGCCTCCGCACGCCAACTGTGAAAGAAATTTGGCACAAGTTTCTTTGACCAACGCGTTGTCCTGGCACTAACTAAAAGTTAAGTGTAATATTCTACGAAAGCTTCTCCTTCTTTTTTTTTTTTTACTTTGAACGAATTGGGTAAAATAATTATTAAAAAACGTTTAACATGCTCGACATTTACATAAGACACTGTAAATACTTCACAGAATCACCGCACAAATTTAGGCAATTACGACGTGGCCTAAGCATTTGGAAACCCTTCTTCAAGTAGGTTAACGCCATCGTTCTCAGATGTTCAGTCTCGCTTTCAACAAGATCTTCAGTCGTCACTTGTGTTCACCCCTGACCCGCATTATTATCCGAGTCTGTTTGTCCATTCCATGCAGAATCCAATACACATACTACGCGTATGTACCTACTGACAATCTTATTGACGCGCGACCCATTTAAACCACAACTCGCATTCCTGGGGCTAGAGATCAACACAGGGCGCGATTTCTACTTGGTTAGGCAATGACCAGGCACCCGCTCCTCTTCTCACTTATATTTACTTTTTTTTTTCTTTCCGTTTTTACACATATTTCCCTTCAGACACTACTTCTTTTGCATCTGAGGTTTGCTAGAGCCAAATTTTTCTGCTGCAAAATAAACAAGTGATACCTTATCCCCTACATGTTTGAAGTACAATATAAAATTTATTTAGGGTGATTTCAGATAAGATCAACCAAAGGGTAGGTGGTCGACATTTTTAAATCAATGATGTTTTTATACACCATTGTCTAATGTCTGGGATAAACAAATCCACACTTAGTTTTGTCCAAAAAAAAAAAGATTTGGGGACACAAAAAATTCTAAAGCATGTAGAGGTGGACAGTTGCATCAACGCGCACTGATGGAGGGGGCACGTTTGAAAGTGAATAACTAAAAAGATAATGTTAGAAGAATTCTAATACTTTTAAAAAAACTATGGGTACAGCTTGCTTGTAATATAAAATAATAATATTTATGTACATTTTATTTATTTTTTTAAAAATTGCCTAACATGCCTGCTCGAACGACAAATGGCAAAATTTGGAGGCCTGTATCTCATGAAATAATTTAATCATTATCATATAATTTGCAGGTAGTATTTTACTTATATATGTATATTATTTCAAAAATAAATAAGGTATTTGAGTGATACGATAGTCGGGATATATTTATGCAAACATGGGAAAAAATCAAAACGAAAAATTCCGATGCAAATAAGAAAAAAACACCCCCTTCGATTTTTTTTAAAATTTGGGTACCCTGTCATACTTTATTTCGGCCTTCATTTCTATTAAAAACATGTTGCACCATTTTATTGAGAAAGAAGACACAGCTCCCCAAAGTAGGGTCCTTTTTCAAAGCCTAAACGTAGCAGTGCCCTATAAGAGAAGTGACTCTGAGTTCTAGTTTCAGGAAACTAACACACATCTTTCATATATTTTTATTCATATGAGGTCACAGACAACTCATCAACTTTATGTAGTTGATCAGTGACGTATACATTTAGCTAAATAGCTAAATGTATACGTTACTGATCAACTACATACAGTAAAACTGCAACTTATAACATTTCATTATAACTTATTTTGTAAACGCACTTCGATGCCGGATCTGACCACTGCACAAGAGGACGTCGGAAGACAAGCGCGCAATTTCCGATGAAAGGCATCGTCAAATGTCATAAAGAATTTTCTAATATTTTTGGTTGAACTTTTTTTTATGTTGTAAAGCACAGAAGCGCTTCGTTTCCCTGCTCTTGACTGCAACCGCCTCCTATATTTCACCGCGAGATCTTAACTGTATACGGCACTTAAGAGCAGATGCATCCAGTGTTACAGCTTTTTTGTACTGCAAAAAAAAAAACTAATAGTATCTACAACCCACTTCATATTTTCAACAACTCCTCCTCTCAGGTATCGCAATGAGTTAAGCGATATACTGAAGTGAATCTTGAGAAATGCAGCTCCGCGTGTTTTTCTTTTTCCTTCGATAAGCACAACACTGTGCCCTGAGAGGCGTGATATTAAGCACTAGTTTGCATAGAGTCATGCGTACGATGGCATGTTAATTACAGTTGCACGGATTACAGAGTAACGTGAAAAAAAGCAAAATGATGTTTTAAAAGGTTCAAAATGTAAAACAACCCAAAGACACGAATAAGAACGAGAAGGTAGACGAACAAGGCGCTGACTTACAACTGAAGCTTATTCGTGCTAACATCGCAACGGCACAACAAACAAACCAAGAGAAAAAAACACATGAGATGGACGCCACGTCCTCCTGAGCCACCGTCACGCTCTCTTACTGCGCGTCTAAAAAACAACATTCTTTATTCGACAGAGATAGCGATGGAGCGCCTTACAGAGGTTTCCCCCAATCTTTCAATTTCCCGCGCTTCAATAATTTCTCGAGTGAGCTTATCTTTGCTCTTTCTAATCACCTCACACTTGTCGAAGGCGGAACTGCAACGATAGTCTCGGCAAGGCAGGCCAAGATGACCTGACAAAAGGCCCTAACAATAAACGTTGTACTTTTGCTCTCGCAAGAGATCATTGAAGCAGCACCCCCTTTGGCCGACGTATCTCCTACAGCACTGCAGCGGAATGGAGTACACTACTCCCTCCACATAGTTCACAAATCGGTCAGCGAGTTTTTTGGGGGTATCCCTGCCTTTCATTAGAATTGGAGTAGCCACATTTAAAGTCTTTTATCTCAACAACCAGGGCGTATCTCGCAAAGTTCCCCAGGAATCATGTAGTATACATCATGTGGTAGCTATTCAATGAAATATGAGACGACTAGGTTGTTTTCTGCGGGCTCCCTGCGAAAGCGGAGTTGCACAAAAAACGTATGGTCCCATAGCCCCATGCAAGATCTTGCCAAAGAGGTCAACTTCAGCGCCTCCTATTTCGGCGTTCAGGTCCTATCGAAACCCGTGAGGTTGGTATTCAACATATTAGACGAGGAAGTATAAGACGTCTAGGCTGTTTTCTGCGGGTTCCCGGCGAAGGCGCAGTTGCCCAAGAAATGCCCGGTCGGATTGTTCCAGGTGAGATTCAGTCAGAGAGCGGAACCTCAGCGCCCCCTATTTCAGAATTCAAGTCGAATCTCGCAACGTTCCCCAGGAATACCGTAGTCTACCTCATGGTAATCATGGTATTTCGATAAAATATTGGACGTGTAGTTTGTTTTCTGTGGGTTCCCGGGGAAGATGAAGTTACCCAAAAAAACGCGAGGTTGGATTCCCCTGAGCAAGATTTAGTCAAAGAGGCTAAATTTAGCGCCTCTTATTTCGGCATCCAGGTTGTATCTCGCAACGTTCTTCGGGAATCTCGTAGTCCACCTGATTGGGTAGGTATTCCATGAAATAATAATAGTCTAGGTCGTTGTCTACGCGTTCCTTGCAAAGGCGCAGTAGCCCAAAAAACGCACCGTTCAGACCATCAGTAAGAGATCCTGTCGCAGCAGCCTAAATGAGCACGGGATATCTTGACAAAGAGGTGGAATCCTGCTAATGTTCCCAGGCAATAATGCAGTACAATTACTGAAGTACGTATTCAATTTAGGTCGAGCGGTGTACGACATATTCTGAAGGGTCCCTGCAAAGCCCCCTTTCCTTCTAGAAAAACGCTTAGTCGAGACCATCGGCGAGAAAATCTGTCCAAGTCGTCCATTTCAGGGCCGCTTATCTCAGCAACCAAGTCAGGTTTATGCATTTCTTTAAAAAATCCTTAAATAAAATGACTAGAAGTGCCCTCTTGCAATATGACGTGTCCGGCGAGTAAAAAATCCAGTATTGGACCTTTTTGCCCCTTGGATATCTTGGCCAGAAGCGGTGGGCACGGGGGGGGGGGGGGGGGGGGGGAGAGAGAACAACTACGAACGCCAGAAACGTAACTAGGAATTTGATTGAAAATACACGTGCCGAGTCATTGCCTTACTGGATAGAAATCACGCCCTGTGATCTCTAGTCTCAGGAATGCGCGTTTTGGTTTAACTGGGTCGAGCGTGAATACGGTTGTCAGTAACCACCTGCGTGTAATATGTATGTTAGGATTCTGCACAGGGTTGACAAACAGACTTCCAT